CTGTGGAAGAAATGTCGGAAAAATAAGAGTTATTGTCGTTAAAGGATACCTCTGGACAACAGCCGGAAGAGGAAGGTAGAGAAGAGGTATTAGTGACAGATATAAAATAAGAGTCATCGGAGGATACAGGAAAGGCTGCGGTAGCTGATCTGGAATGATTACAAATAAAAAATTATTCATTTATTATTTCAAAAGGCTGCTTCCTGGCAAAAACTTTTTGAAATCAAAACTTCTTTGAGCCCATTTTGCACTTTTTTTGTGGAGAGTGAATTAGATCTCAGTGCGCTCGGGTTAATGCGGCTGGAGTCGACTACTCGAAGTGCTTTAGCATGTGGATTAAAATATCTCAAAAACTAAAAATCGGATCTGCATATTGTTAGCTAGGGAAATTTTCAGCATTTTATTCTCTCTGTAATAGCCTATTATTCAAAATTATTTCTTGACGCGTCGCCGGGTTAGGGGGGGAATAGATAAAAGTCTTGAAAACCAAATGATAATGAGTTTTATTGAAGATATGGATTGTAATATCACAGACACTAAAAACCGGATCTGCATCCAGTAAGTGAGTGAATTTCATCCTCTTTATAATCCGCTATTATTTGTAATTTATATTTCATATTATTAATCTCGTCTTGTTGATGTTTTCATTCACTTCTATCGTTTGGTCTAAAGCACACACCTTGATTTTTTTTCTTTCGTGAAATAAATAACATCAAATTGTTCATGTGTATCTAATATTATAAAGTTGGTCCAGAATAATATACAAAATCAACTTTAAAAAACGAAAATGTTTACTTACTCCGATACCCAAGTGATCTAGCTAAAACTGCCTGCACTAGTTTTATGATGGGTATATGCCCTTATAAAATTATGAACATTAGCCTAAAGCTTCGTGAATGCCATAATCTTTTCGTAACCAATACATTTTTATCTACGGGGTTGATAAACAGTCCGATATTTTTGTAGGCAGAGATTTTAAATCTAATTATCTTACGATTCAAATAAAAAACTAATGGGTGTACGTGAGTTTTTAACACCTAATTAAATAGACAAAATTTGCCAACATCTCCAGATTGAAAGCCCCAATTCTGAGAATTTTGTAAATAAAAAAGTTGTTAGTTATGTGAGATGAAGCTATTCACGAAGCTTAAAGCGGACGGTCATAATTCGATAAAAAGAGGTCTATGCCATATAATATTAACGTCATAAACTAGATGTAATAAAAACAATACATGCGTCTCAAATGCCAGCGATTTCGACTTCTCCAAATGATTATTTTTACTCTCAATATACTTTTAAATGTGGGTTGGGGGCTGCTTTGTGATTAATGAACTCTAATGGTCCTGAATTCGAATCTGATTGTGGTAAGTTGCAATTTATCCTGTTACAACAGGCTAGGGATCACTCGTATGCAGAAAGAAAAATAAGAATATATTTAGTTGTAGGCATCTCACGAAGCCATTCAAATACATACTGAAGGAAGGAGGAGGTTCTATTAACACAACTAAGGAAAATTATATGCAACAGCATAAAACGTTATATTGTAAGTATTAAACCTTATAAAGTTAACCAATCAACTACATGTAAGAGACTCGTGGCTTTATAGTTTTAATTTTTTCATTTATAACATCAATACCTTACGTCTCTTTTCCAGCTTTATGCTTATTTTAGTAATATTATCTGTGGCCTTGTATCCACTGAGTTTTGTTAGGAGTGGATTTTGTATATAACATCAATAATCAACCCGTCAATAACGGTCCCATCCATTTCTTTCCGACAGTCAAAAACCTCGAAGTGATCTTTTAATCAGAACCTCTCTTGGAACAACCACATTTCTCAGATTATCCGTAAATCCGTAACTATCCTTAAACAATTCCTTCGGTTCCGTGATTCCATTCTAAAAAAACTAGACCGCTACGGTTACCTGTTGTAAGGAGGGCTGTCCACAAGACTGGAGGCGAGACTGAAGAAACTTATGTATTGCTACATAAGATTCCTCTTTGTTGTCTCATGTTTCCTGTAGGTACACAGAGTTGAAGTGGCTTTATCCGATTTCCCGACGGCAATTTTCTTTTTCCAAGTCCTCAGAACAAAAACCCTCCCTACATCTTAGAACTCCTTACTTTACACTGCTCTATCCACTCACTCAACACCAGATCTCAACCTATAGATTTATATATCCCCTCCCATAAAACCACTTCCTTCAGTAAATCCTCCTTCATTCCTAATACGTCCTTAACTCCTTACCCATCTCCATACGTCAATCCACGTCCATAAACTTGTTCAAAGAACTCATATTCCACCACCTACTACAAATTCAAATTTCCGCAAGCTTGTGAAAATTTTAGAGTTATATAATTACGTTAGTCACCAGCAGTTAATTGATAGAAGCCATTTTGTTTTTATTTATTCACGGTTTTTATATCTCAGTATGGCAAAGTTTACTAGGGTGCTTTACACCACACGATAGAAGTGAAAACATCAAGGCGAGATTAATATTATGAAATATAAATTATAAATAATAACTCATTATAAAGAAGTTGAAATGATGAACATTTCCCTAGTTTACAGTATGCAGATCCGATTTACTGTTTCTGAGATATTTTAATCCCTATCTTCCACAAAACTCGTTATAATTTGATTTTCGATATTATTTTTCCTTTTTCGCCTCTCTAACACGGCGCACAGTGGTTGAAAATCTTTATTCGAAAAAAAACCCTGGCAATACCGATCTGTAACTCACACAAAAATAGTTTTGATACTATCATAATCACAACTAAATTTCCTATAAAATATATACAATTAAACCCCAGCTCTCCGGATTAACCGGTGGTAAAAAAAGAAAAACTGAGAAGAATTAATATTTATTTCTCTCAAAATATGCTAGTTTCAGCTATCTAAATTATTGAAACAAACGAGATAGTTGTTTTTATTACAGAAAATCTCAACCTGTGAACTTATATTGTGAGCAAACTAATAAACAGAAACTCAACAGAGTAAAAAATAGCAAAAATCTTGCTACAGAAGGATTATGTATTTTATGTTTTTCAATAGCTGAGACAGCACTTGGAATTTTATTGCAATTGATGAAAACATTTAGATTAAGCAAAAAATAAATAATTAAAGGACCATATAAAGACTATTAAATAGCGAACAATCGTTTATACACTAAAATTAAATCATATATTCAAGAAAAACTATAATAAGCTGGTCTACTCAATTTAAATAAATCTTATATTAATACACACACAAGCTATAAATTAATTTTTGCAGATACTTTTAATTTTAATTATTACGCAATATTAGAGTTTCATTTTAACCGATCAGTTTAGGACAGGTCAGCATTCCGACTAGGGCGAATAAATGAGGTAGTATTGTGAATTAAAAAGTTTTTACCAAATACCAAAAAACTCATTCTATGTAATTATTTTTTAACAACTAATTATATTTAAAACTCGTATGCATTAAATTGTACTAACTTTAAATACTACATGATAAGAATGCAGCGAAATTCATCATTTTTATCAGAAATAAATTGAAGCTGAAGAATTATTTTTTAAATTAAATTTTGTTTTAATTATATAGTTTCGTAACATCTAATTATATCTAAGGAAATTATTTTAAATAAAAAAAAAAAAAAAGAATAATCAAAAATCCAATTTCCACTTCTGCAATTAATTTTTATTGGGTTTTATTCTTGAATAATCAAATAATAAAACGTGATTCGCATATTCCATGCAACGTTTTTTTCAAGCTTTTTGTTGTTGTTGTAAGATTACCCGACATTTTTGTAATATTATTTTGAGCATGTTGAAGCATATTTGATTGATGGATGTTTTACATATATAGCTCATATATAGACGTAACACTTTATAACTGGAGCCGCCTAATAAAAACCATTAAATAAGCGAAAACTTGTGACATTGAAAAACTAATTTGAAGCATGATTATTGAAAAACCCTTATCCCACCTATATCAAAATATATAGATATCGATAAGTTCGATTCACTGAGATTATAATATAAATTTAAATGAAATCCTAATAGGAAACTTGTCGTTTAAAAGGGAGAAATACAGAGTGTATATGGAAACATCGATATACATTGTCTGTGCCGATGTCGGGAAAATAATCTGAGAGCCTGTGAGAAAAAATCGACGTCCTTTGTTGAAAACATATTTTTAAAAAAAAGTTTATAACATTCATATTTAAAAATTGAGTTTTTCAGTCGGATCTTGCTACCTGTTGAATTGTGTCAAATGAGTACCTACAACTAATAATTTGATCAAGTGTGGACCATACGATAACCACGGTTAACGAACGCCGATTTTCACCGAATTCATCAAAAACTGAGAAAATTTATTATGAATGGCCATTGGAAAAGAATTTTCTAACAGAAATAAACTCATAGAATAAAATTCATTTATCTCAGTTTTTTATGAATTTGGTTAAAATTAGCGTTGGTTGACCGTGGTTATCGCCGATGCCATTTCACCAAATTATTAAATTTAAGTACTCATTCGACGCACAATTTAACATTCTTTAATGTCTAAATGATTAAGATTTTCGCTTCGACGCACCGGTTAGGAGTTGTGGACGAAAAAACAAAAAAATATCTATCTTTTGGCTGTAAAAAGTATTCCTTTGGTGGCCTGCATTAACAATTCTGTTTTTTTACTTGCCTGAACCTGTATATACAAAAAAAAAAAAAAAAATCTTATCGGAATCAATATTCCATTTCGATCCTCAAGTTACTGGTCTAATATTCTTTAAATCAACCGTCATTTTTAAAGTTAGCAAGATTTAAATGCCAGACTTATATTTTAAATATAAATGTTATAAATATTTTTTAAAAAATGCGTTTAAAGTTTTCATCAAATAATGTAGATTTTTTCTCACGTGCCTTTGGATTAAAAGGTCCGATTTGAAAAAATGCCATTGGTTTCCGAGTTTATGCCATGATTCCTATCGTGAGTATAATGAAGGGAGGCATCGAACTCACCAAGCAGCAGATCTGGGAGCAGCTGAAGGACTGAGGCCTTCCAGCGTTCGGTCTCTCTTTTCCTCAAACACCATCTAATAACTGGATTCCTATTGGCTGGACTTCACGTCCAATCTGCGATCGTTCTTCAGGGAATTCATGTGACTCAGCCTTTGCCTCGGGTTATTTTCTTGAACCCTTGATGACGTACTTGTTGATCTTTTTAAAGGCTCACTCAATTACTTTCCTTTTGTTCTAATTTTAAAATATTTTAGACATATGCACAGACTTTGGATTTTGATTGATTGGATTTGGTTGGGGGGCGATGGGCTCTTTTTTTTCACTTTATTTTCATAAAAGGGAGCTGTCCAATTATACTGCGTTAGAGAGGAAAAAAGGGAATGAATAGTATCGAAAACCAAATGGTAACGAGCTTTATTGAAGATATGGATTAATATATCTCAGAAACTAAAAATCGGACCTGCATACTGCAAGCGAGGGAATTGTTCAGCATTTCATCCTATCCGTAATGGGCTATTATTCAAAATTTTATCTTAACGCGAAGCTGTGTTAGAGATACGAAAAAGAAAAATATGGTTTCGAAAACCAAGAGATAACGAGTTTTATGAAAGTTATGGATTAAAGTATCTCTAAAAATCGGACCTGCTAAAGCTAGAAGCTAAAAATCGGACCTGCATACTGTAACAAAGGAAACGCTCAGCATTTCATCCTCTTTAACATGAGCTATTATTTATAATTTATATTTCATATTATTAAACTTGCTTTGTTGAGCTTTTCACGAATAAGGCACGAATAACTGCCAGCAGATTTTATTTAGTGGGGTGCAGAACAACCGATATTTTTCACAAATATCGGAGGAGGCCTTGGTTCTCTGAATATATCTGCAGACTGCATTACCCTCGGACCTTTGAAGCACTTCTTAGGGATTTGGAGTAAAGAAAGGGATTCTTCGAACATTTCTAGTGAAGAAGTACCTGGTTGGAGCTGAGGTTCTGGTTCTGAAGTGGTCACGTTGGTTACTGGAGGTGTTTCTGGTAGGTAGCGGCGAGTTCTTTGTTCGGCTGGTGAACCAAGAGGTGTACGAACGCCATTTGACCGAGTCCTCTTGGGCACCTTACTGAACATCACTTTGTGATAACACCGCATATCATAAGAGAAGAAAGAAAAATAAAAATAAAGAAAAAAAAAATATCAAACAGCAAATTTCAACTGCTCTGATGTGAAACTGCTCTGAATACACGTATTCTGTATGTAAACTGTATTCAATGAAAAATCAGGGAGATTCAGCTGAAAAACAGGCAAATACTGAGAGACCAGTTGAGAGCACAATCTAAATTAAAAATAAGTTGGTATAATGTATATTTGATACTTTATTAACTAACTAACTAACTAATTCTCCCGCTCTACAGGCCAGCATGACCCTTGTCCTCCTGAGTTATTTTTCTCCACTTCTCTCTGTCCTGTGCTACTCTCTTCCAATTGCGAACTCCTAGCTTCTTAGCATCTCTCTCCACTTGATCCTTCCATCTGCTTCTCGATCTTCCTCTTTTCCTCTTCCCACTGAAGTGTGCTTCCAATATTTTTCTCGGCACCCGTTCATTCTCCATTCTGATTACTTGTCCTGCCCATCTAAGCCTACTTGCCTTGATATAGTTAGTATTGTTTTGATTCCATAGTATAGTCTCGATTTCATTATTACTTTTGATTTTCCACTCACCATTAACACTTGTAGCACCATAAATCCTTCTTATTATTTTCCTTTTAGTTTACGGCAATCCTCTTGCGATAAACACCAGGTTTCCGCTCCATAGGTGACTACTGGTCTAATAATCGTTTTATACAGCTTTATTTTTGTGGCTTTTGACAACAATGGAGACTTGAGAAGTTTTAGGTTTTCATAGTAAGCTCTATTACCAGCCATTATTCTGTTGTCTATTTCTCTGCTGATTACATTTTCATTATTTAGGGCAGAACCAAGATACACGAATGTGGGTACATTTTCGAACTTAAAATTCCTTATTTTGATTTCATTGCAGGATCTTCTACTTGCTGCCGAGGACAGTTTTCAGGTATTTAGTTTTGTTTTCATTGACCACAAGTCCAACTTTGTTGCCATTTTCGTACACAATCCCAAATGCCTCTTTAAGTACCTTTTCTCTTCATGCAGCTATCACCAGGTCATCAGCATAAGCACAAATTTTCCAGGTCTTATCAACGATGGTGCCTTTTTTAGCTGCATGTTTTTTAACTGCACAGCAGCATGCAGAGCTATGTTGAATAGTGTTGCTGATAAGGCATCTCCTTGACGCACTCCAGACTGTACCTCGAACAATCGACCAACTTTATTTCCAATAATAACTTTGGATGACGCATTTTTCATGGTCATGCATATTAAATTAATTAGTTTATGTGGCACTCCACTTTTCATTAGCATTCTTAACAGAGCTGATCTCTTGATGCTATCAAATGTCTTCTTGTAGTCAACGAATAACAAGTGGAGATAAATGTCATACTTGTAGCATATTTCCATCATTTGTTTTATAAGAAAAATTTGATCTGTAGTACCGAGTCCAGTTCTAAAACCACACTGGTAATCATCTAAAATTTCCTCAGCATATTTTCGCAGCCTTTTCAATATTAAACTAGAAAGGAGTTTAAACAGGACTCCCATTAGGGTTATCCCTATATAATTTGTGCACTGATCCTTGCTGCCTTTTTTAAGAATAGGACATATTCATCCAATCCTCCAGTCATCCGGCATCCTTTCCTCTCTCCATACCTCACAGATCAACTCATACATTAAGGCCTTCATTTTACCACTGCAGCATTTAATCAATTCCGCAACTATCCTGTCCTCACCAGGAGCTTTACAGTTCTTCAAGTCCATGATGGCAAACTCGATATCCTCTCTGTCAGGCTCATCAACTAGCGGTTATGGTTGCCACACCTGACATTCTTCTCCACTCTTAACATCCTCCACCTCCAGAGCAATGTTCAGCAACTCTCCTTCTCCATCCAAAGCCTCTCCTGTTTTACTTTTGCAATTATTAAGCTTCGGCTGATACTCTTTCCTGAACCAATTAATTTCCTTATAAAATTTCCAACTTTCATGCACATTGTTCAACATTTCTATATTTTCAAGCCTTTTACAGATAATTTTTTTTTTTTTTCCTTTCTACATACTTTCTTAGCTGTTCTTTTTTTCATACTGTAGGTCTCCTGGTTTTTCCTTGTGAACTTCTGTAAGATCTTCTGTCTGGCTTGACTTTTCTCTTCAATGGCTTTTGCATTGAACATTGAATCATTCTTCATTTCTTCCATTTGTAATTTCTCCCAATGTCTCTTCCGCTGCCTTGCTTATAGCCTCCTTCACAACTTTCCATTTCTTCTCAATTGGCCTACTTTCCTCTTCTGGCCTGATTTCCTCTAACTCCCCTCTCTTCATCTCTCTATCCATAACCTCTTGAAAATTTCGAAAATCTTGGAGTCCTATAGGCACCTTACTGAACATCACTTTGTGATAACACCGCATATCATAAGAGAAGAATGAAAAGAAAAAAAAAGATATCAAACAGCAAATATCAACTGCTTTGATGTACATGCGAACTGTATTCAATGAAAAATCAGAGAGATTCCACTGAAAAACTGGCAAATACTGAGAGACTAGTTGAGAGCACAATCTAAGTTAAAAATAAATTCGCATTAATTATATTTGATCCTTTATTAAATTAATTAATTAATTAACTGAGCAAATGCCCCAACTTCTGGGAATGTTTAAAAAAATTTTAAAGTTATGATATGATCAATTCATTTAAGAAGTTTTAGACGTTTGGTAAAAAGGGGTGTGGATTAAAAGTTCAAGACAAACTATGTTTAATTTGAGAATTAAGAACGAATTTAATATAACATGTAAATAAAATATGGGAACGAACACTTTAATCTGATTTTAAAAAAATCATTAATTATTCGCTATTTTTATTATCACCCTTTAAGTGTACTAGGGTGAACGCACCAGTTATGGACAGGGATCCCAGTGATGGACAGGTTGGACTTTAAACTTGAATAATAAGCTTCCTTTTTGACTTAAAGATTCCAGTTTTTCTAGTTTAAAAAACCCTCTGTTGACAACTGTATGAACCAAGTTTTCAAAAGAAAAGTTTACAACACTCCACAGTTCAACAAGGTATCCTAGTGGTCAATCATATTTCTGCAGCACTGGAAAACAAGTAATATTGCTCGGATGCATTTCTGGACATAGCTCAAGCTTTAGACCAGGTATGGCATGCCGGGCTTCTTTCCAAGCTGAAAACCGATATACCCCAGTCCTTGTTGTCCATATTCCCTTCGTTCTTAGCTCTCTGATTGCACCTTCAGAATTGAAGTTCATTCAGATGGGATAGAATTAAATCCAAATCGAATTTTGATGTAAGGACTCTCAATTAAACAGATAAACTCAAGCAGAAACAGAGGTAGAATTCAAACAATCATAAAAATACTTATATATTATTAGTGGTTAGTGTTAATCGTTGTAACTTATTTTTCTATATTTCAGTTTAAACCATCCCAACATTGAAAAAAATGTTAAGATAAAACCCTCTTGGAAATGAACAAATTAAAAATATTTTTTCATTGAACTATTGATCTGCCATCTTGTGACAACTCTCAAAATTATTTCAGCACATACTTTACATAAACTATATGAAAAGATAATGTAAGAATATAAGCTGCATATTTTTAATTTATCCGAAGTAATGTTAAAGTTTTCAGGTCTGGAAATGGCTAAAATGGTGGAATGTAGAGAAGTTATTGATTTTTTTTTATTTGCTAGACAATATTTAAATAAGTAAATTTAAAAACTCCATAGTGTACATCAGAATAGAGAATTTATTTTCCAAAAAAAATTTGATTATCAACAGTAAGAAACAACATTTCAAACAATATTTCTAAGTTACAGTTATGCTTATGAATGCAAAACAACACAAAACATATTTATTACATCGACTGTAAGCAATAAAAACCCCAAAACTCCAACTATCATTTTTCAACCACATTAATCCAGGG